AAAAAAAAAAAAAAAAAAAGAAAACTCTTAGGGTTTTTTATGGCCAGGAGCTGTGGCTCACGCCTGTAATTGCAACATTTTGGGAGGCCAAGGCAGGCAGATCACCTGAGGTCGGGAGTTTGAGACCAGCCTGACCAACATGGAGAAACGCCTGTTCTATTAAAAATACAAAATTAGCTGGGTGTGGTGGCACACACCTGTAATCCCAGCTACTCAGGAGGCTGAGACAGGAGAATCGCTTGAACCCGGGAGGCGGAGGTTGTGGTGAGCTGAGATCACGCCATCGCACTCCAGCCTGGGCAACAAAAGCAAAACTCGGTCTCAAAGAAGGAAAAAAAAACTCCGGGTTTTTTCCTTCAATCTGCGTGCTGTTGTGTGCTTTCTTTCCTTTAATTCACTTAGGGAGATCCACTGTGATCTTATTATCTAGAATTTGTTAAAGGTAGATTTCTCTCATTTTATAGATAAGAGAATGGAGACCCAGACACATAAGATCATACGTCAGTGATTCAGTAAAAATGTAAATAACTTATAGTTTAAGTGAGGCTCTTTGAGGTTGACATGGCCCTTCTTTTTAATTTTGCAGGGATAAACACACTTGTTACCTATGATCTGGTTCCAGAGCCCAAAATCATTGATGCTGCTTTGCGGGCATGCAGACGGTTAAATGATTTTGCTAGTACAGTTCGTATCCTAGAGGCTGTTAAGGTCAGTGAAATAATAATGCTAAAATTGTTCTGTAAATGAGTGGGCTATTGCTGAGGTATCAGCATATTCTATATTTTTGAATTTGTTAAAATGCCTAAAATGAATCTTTATATAACTAGAAGGAATGTATATTGCAGTTAAAATCTTTCTAGAGGCTACTTTGGCAGCATTTATTCAAGGCTTTACAAATTGTACATGACACACTTTTGTTCAGCAATTCCATTTAAGAATTTATCTTTTTGGCCGGGCGCGGTGGCTCAAGCCTGTAATCCCAGCACTTTGGGAGGCCGAGACGGGCGGATCATGAGGTCAGGAGATCGAGACCATCCTGGTTAACACGGTGAAACCCCGTCTCTACTAAAAAATACAAAAAAAACCTAGCCGGGCGAGGTGGCAGGCGCCTGTAGTCCCAGCTACTCGGGAGGCTGAGGCAGGAGAATGGCGTAAACCCGGCAGGCGGAGCTTGCAGTGAGCTGAGATCCGGCCATTGCACTCCAGCCTGGGTGACAGAGCGAGACTCCGCCTCAAAAAAAAAAAAAAAAAAAGAAAGAATTTATCTTTTTTCTTTTCTCTCTCTCTTTTTCTTTTTTTTTTTTTTTTTTTTTTTTTTTTTTTTAGAATTTATCTTGGCCGTGTGTGGTGGTTCACGCCTGTAATCCCAGTACTTTGGGAGGCCGAGGCGGGTGGATCACCTGACGTCAGGAGTTTGAGACCAGCCTGGCCAACATAGTGAAACCCTGTCTCTACTAAAAATATAAAAAGTAGCCAGGCGTGGTGGTGCATGCCTGTAATCCCAGCTACTCAGGAGGCTGAGGCAGGAGAATCACTTGAACCGGGGAGGCGGAGGTAGCAGTGAGCTGAGATCGCGCCATTGCACTCCAGCCTGGGCAACAAGAGAGAAACTCCGTCTCTTAAAAAAAAAAGAATTTATCAAGGAACAATTAAGGGTATATAAAGATTTAACTACAAAGTGTATTCATCTTCTTGCTATTTGTCATAAGAAATGTTAGGAATTCTTAAGAGGTAACTTCCCAGAACTGGTTATACTACACAACTATTGATACTGTAGAAATGTGTTTGACTTTAAACATATTTGCATCTGCTGGGCACGGTGGCTCATGCCTGTAATCCCAGCAATTTTGGGAGACGGAGGTGGGTGGATCCCCTGAGGTCAGGAGTTCGAGACCAGCCTGACCAACATGGAGAAACCCCATCTCTACTGAAAATAAAAAGTTAGCCGGGCATGGTGGTACATGCCTATAATCCCAGCAACTCGGGAGGCTGAGGAAGGAGAATTGCTTGAACTCAGGAGGCAGAGGTTACAGTGAGCCGAGATGGCACCATTGCACTCCAGCCTGGGCAACAAGAAAGAAAAACTCCGTCTCGGCCGGGTGCAGTGACTCACGCCTGTAATCCCAGCACTTTGGGAGGCCGAGGCGGGCGGATCATGAGGTCAGGAGATCGAGACCATCCTGGCCAACATGGTGAAACCCCGTCTCTACAAAAAGAAATACAAAAAATTAGCTAGGCATGGTGGAAGGCGCCTGAGGCAGGAGAATGGCATGAACCCAGGAAGCGGAGCTTGCAGAGATTGTGCTACACTCCAGCCTGGGCGACAGAGCCAGACTCTTGTCTCAAAAAAAAAACAAGAGAGAAACTCCATCTCAAAAAAATACATATACATTATATTAAAACATAGGAGGATATATACCAATTTTCCTCCCTCTTATTTGGTTATAATTTCTGAGTTTATATATTTTTTTGAGACAGAGTCTTGCTCTGTCGCCCGGTCTAGAGTGTAGTGGCGTGATCTTAGCTCACTGCCACGTCCGTCTCCTGTGTTCAAGTGATTCTTCTGCCTCAGCCTCCCGAATAGCTGGGATTACAGGCACCCGCCACCACGCCCAGCTAGTTTTTTTATTTTTTAATAGAGATGGGGTTTCACCAGGTTGGTCAGGCTGATCTTGAACTCCTGACCTCAGGTGATCCATCACCTCAGCCTCCCAAAGTGGTGGGATTACAGGCGTGAGCCACGCTGCCCGGCTGAGTTTTTTTGTAATAAATACATTGCATTTTTAAAAATACAATTTTAAAAAGTACAATTAAGGAGCTCTAGAGTTTTTTGAAGGCAGAAGAGCAACTTGGCACTTTTTTTTGTTTTTTTGAGACAGAGTTTCACTCTTGTTGCCCAGGCTAGAGTGCAATGGTGTGATCTTGGCTCTCTGCAACCACCACCTACCAAGTTCAAGTGATTCTCCTGCCTCAGCCTCCCGTGTACCTGGGATTACAGACAAATTTTACCATGCCTGGCTAATTTTGTATTTTTAAGAGACGGGGTTTCTCCATGTTGGTCAGGCTGGTCTCAAACTCCCAACCTCAGTTGATCCGCCCACCTCAGCCTCCCAAAGTGCTGGGATTAGTCATGAGCCACCACGCCCGGCCGACACTTTCTTAGTTCTTTTGACTTTTTATTAATTCCTGAGGAATCTTGTGACAGCACAGGTAACTATAACAGTGAATAGTCTCCAGCCCTGGATATATGTATTCTCAAAGTACAGCTTTCCATGAAAAGATACTATGGTCTGTAAAAAAAGAAACTCAAGGTCTGTTAACTGCGAAAGTGTGACATTACTTTATCTATCATGGGTAAGATAATTAAGGGTTCTGTAGGCTATCAATCCATTCAACACTGGTAGTTAATTCAGTTAGGGTCTCAAATTAGAAGCAAATGAAAAAACTTTTCCCGTGTTAACTTAATTATTCGTGTTGCCTGCTGGGCATGTCTAATTGCCTTCACAAAATTCTGTCATCACTACCTTCTTTTCCAGTAATTCTAGACTTTAAGATGTTTTTTCTGGATTTAGTCCAATTGCAGTTATTCTCAAGGTATCTCAAAAACCTCCCTTGAACAGTACATATATAAGTTGCCCTCTTTATTTTTATTTATTTATTTATTTATTTTTTTTTTTGAGACGGAGTCTTGCTCTGTCACCGAGGCTGGAGTGCAGTGCCACGATCTCAGCTCACTCCAACCTCTGCCTCCCTGGTTCAAGCAATCCCAAGTAGCTGGGATTACAGGGGCATGCCACCACACCCGGCAAATTTTTGTATTTTTAGTAGAGACCGGGTTTCACCATGTTGGTCAGGATGGTCTCAAACTCCTGACCTTGTGATCCACCTGTGTCAGCCTCCCAAAGTGCTGGAATTACAGGCATGAGCCACAGCACCCAGCAAGTTGCCCTATTTATTGAACAAATGTGTTAACTTAAAAGTAGATGACCTTTTTTTTGAGACAGTCTTGTTCTGTCACCCAGCCTGGAGTGCAGTGGCGTGATCTCGACCCACTGCAACCTCTGCCTCCCAGGTTCAAGCCGATTCTCCTGCCTCAGCCTCCCGAGTAGCTGAGGTTACAGGCATGTGCCACTACACCTGGCTGATTTTTGTATTTTTAGTAGAGATGGGGTTTCACCATGTTGGCCAGGCTGGTCTCAAACTCCTGACCTCAAGTGATCCACCTGCCTCGGCCTCCCAAAGTGCTGGGATTATAGGCATGAGCCACTGCGCCCAGCTGATGACCTGTATTATTAATTCTGCCCTGCTTGCCTCTGCATATGTAATTAAAAGCATTTTTTAAGTTCATTTCATGAATTAATAGACATGGCTTTTGAGAGTTAAATGTGAATATTCTTTTTGCCATCAGGACAAAGCAGGACCTCATAAGGAAATCTACCCCTATGTCATCCAGGAACTTAGACCAACTTTAAATGAACTGGGAATCTCCACTCCGGAGGAACTGGGCCTTGACAAAGTGTAAACCCCATGGGTAAGCGAGAAACCACTGAAGAAGGCAGGAAAACAATCCAGAGAGGTGTGGGTGGATGACATTTAAGTGTGCTGTGGTAAGACCTTTCAGTGTTCTTGTTAGGGACTACAGGATGCATGCCACCTCACCTGGCTAGTTTTTGTATTTTTTAGTAGAGACAGGGTTTCACCATGTTGGCCAGGCTGGTCTCAAACCCCTGACCCCTGCCTTGGCCTCCCAAAGTGCTGGGATTACAGGCTTGAGCCACTGTGCCTGGCATCATTGTTTCCTTATGGGTATAAAGGCAAAAGCCACCTTAATTAAAGAAAAATCTTTATAAAATATTTTAGCCATAAACAGTAGCATAGTACAGGGAGTCTGTGTACACATATCCAGATTTTCAGATACTTTTATTGTTGCCACATTTGCTTTGGTGTTTTTAAAGTATTTCTGTTTGGGGTGGGCACTGTGGCTCACGCCTGTAATCGCAGCTTTTTGGGAGGCCAAGGTGGGCAGATCACAAGGTCAGGAGTTCAAGACCAGCATGGTGAAACCTTGTCTCTACTAAAAATACAAAATTTAGCCGAGTGTGGTGGCATGCGCCTTTAGTCCTAGCTACTCGGGAGGCCAAGGCAGGAGAATCGCTTGAACCCAGGAGGCAGAGGTTGCAGTGAGCCGAGACTGCGCCATTGTACTCCAGCCTGGGTGACAGAGTAAGACTGTGTCTCCAAAAAAAAAGAAGAACTTGGCTGGCAACAATGGCTCATGACTGTAAGCTCAGCATTTTGGGAGGCTAAGGTGGGAGGATTGCTTGAGTTCAGGAGTTTGAGACCGGCCTGAGCAACATAGTGAGACCCTGTCTCTGTTAGTTAATTAAATA